TATAAAGTTTGCAAGTTTTTGTGAGAAATGTTTGAGGGAGCTGGCTCAATGTTTGAATACTGGACAAAATCCCGTATAGTGTAACTTGGAAGCTAAGGGACTGTTCATATGGAATGACTCATGTGAAAAGAGTCAGTCAACGCTCTGCCGGAAGTCGTTGGTTTTCTCCGGGTGCTCCGGTTCGCTCCCGCGGGGAAAGTTAACAGGATGGGTTAGAATAAGCAAAGTAATATCTCAATTGTTATAAAGATAAAATAGTCGAGGCTAAGTAAGTAATTAGGTAAGCGTAATACTTGATGTAAAGAGCATTTGATCATATGCACATGTAAATTTACGCTATAGAAATGCTAATCGTAATCGTTGGCTGGGGACTGGCTCGGTTTGCGGGCTCTGATGACATTTCGAAGTTGAATTAGTTTTGTGCGAAATGTTTTCGAGAGCGATAAATGCGCATGCGCACACAGTGCCCGAGCTCAGCCGGTTTATTAAGATTTATTGGGCTGACTGAAAAAGTGAAAATGTTTGGAACGCGACGTGTTGTAAGCAGTTGTAGATAATTTCCTTGTACATGATAACAAATTTTGTAGTTGTCAAATTTTTAATGTCGACAACTATAAACTTGCCGTCCCGTAAGGATTAGGACAGTGTTTGTTGTATATAAATCGTTGTAGAAACTTATTTACGTCACGTCTGGTTTTAAAGCAATTATAAGTAAACAATCAATGTTTAAAACAAACATTAATTTTTCATTTGGCCCCGAAAGGGGCTGATTTCACGTACATGTACTATTGTTCCCTGTGAACTGCGAAACGACCGTTTTTTAGGCGCTTTATCAGTGACAGTTTTGTCAATTACGAAGGACATACTTGTGTACCTCGTGATCACAATTCGTTGCAAGCGACGTGTGAAAAACTGCAAGTTTCAGTTTGACTGTTAATTAAATAGTTTCTAATTAAAATTAGAAACCATTTAACTGTCAAACTGAAACTTGCCGTTTTTCACACGCCGCTTGCAACGAATTGTGATCACGAGGTACACAAATATGTCCTTCGTAATTGACAAAATTGTCACTGACAAAGCGCCTAAAAAAACAGTCGTTTCGCAGTTTACTGGGAACAATAGTATATTGTATAACAAAACTACAGACGTAAAAACGCAGAAGTTGTAACAAACCTGCAGCGGACTGGTAGCAATGCTGTTCCAACAACTTGTCAACAGGATGTGTTCGAACTGCTTGTTCCCAGCTTGTTGACAAGTTGTCAACGGCTTGTTAACAACTTGCTACAAGATTGTTGAGCTCAACAGACTTGTTACAAGTTGATCCACTAACATGTTATCGTCCTGCAATTCAACAATTTGTCAACAAGTTGTGAGTGATAACCTTGTAGCAACTTGATAAAATCGAGGATAAAATAACAGCATTGTTGCAACTTGTTGACAAGCTTGCTGCAAAGCTGTTGCGAACACATCTTATTGACAAGTTGTGAGATTTTTACGTGTGTACTGGAGAATCCTGACCAGTATAGTCTGACATAATTAATTCTATCTTCGCAAATAATAACGGCTTTGATATAGATCCAAAATTACATTTCAAAGTTGAATTTATAAAATAGTTTAGAAGAGGTTAAAGCAGGGGCCGGGCAGCCGCCGGTGTTGTATCGCATTTGCTGACAACATTTCAATCGCTAATTAAGATTTCTTTTCCCAAATTATTTTTCCGAAAATATTTCATTCAGGAGGTGTCACTTCCCCTTACCGACGGCCCTGAACAGTTGATTCAAACGATCTTATCATTTTTGCGAAATCTTTTTTGGGGCGATGAATGCGCACGCGCACACATTGCCTGTGCCTTGTTAGTTTATTGGGCGGACGAAAAAGGTGATGTTGGGACAAAATATTTGGGACACCACGTGTCTAGTGTTGCGAATAGTTATAGATAGGTTTCTACGAATTTTGTAGTTGTCAAAATTTTAATGTCGACCACTATATATCACAAACTATATATTAACCCGCACTGCAGGTAGAAGCCCGAAAATAATTGCTAGCTGTCCCGTAAGGATTACGACAGATTTTGTTGTATATAAATTCTTGTAATGAAACTCAAACATCGAAAAATTGAAATATTATTTGGGCTTGGAAGGAAAAACCCTCCCATAATCATTTTGTAATTTTTAGGCCCTGAAAAGGGGCTCCACGTTACCACAGAATTGAAAAATGAAAATAGGCTATTTTCTATTCTGTGACGTTCCACGTATATTCATAACAAAGCGATTGGAAAATCCTTATAGTCTGATAAAGATGCAATGATTATTGCTGCATAGGAACTTGTGGTAGTAAAACTTGAGAGTCAAGACACTATCAAAGTTTCTGTGCAGTGGCGTAACGGGAGGGTGTCAGGGTGTCCAGAGACGGGGGGCCCCCGAACTTTAGGGGCCCCCGAACTTTAGGGGCCCCCAACAAAAATGACCTTAAAAAATTTGATAGCACATTTCTGGAGAATTGAATTAATTGAATAAAAAAAACCCATTCTCTGGAAAAGGCAAAATCCGTCGAGAAATTTCCCGAAGCTGCGACGGATTAAGTACGTCGCGGCTGAGGTAAAGGACGAGATACTAGAATGAATTAATTGCAATTTCATTGGGTATGTCCGGAAAAAATTTTAGACCCCTAAAATGGTAGAATATCCGAAAATTTTTGGCGAGTGGGGGGGTGGGGGGAGGTCGCCAAAAATAAATTGTTCCGAGAAAAATTTTTGGAGCCTATTTTTAGTGGAGCAAAGGGGCCCAAAGTGGCCGATTGACGGAGGGCCCCCAGCGGTTGCGTTACGCCACTGTTTCTATGATCGGAATTTTTGCATAGGAAAATTCTATAATGTTTTCAAGTTTTTGTGAGAAATGTTTGAGGAAGCTGGCTCAGTGTTTGAATCAAAATCCCGTATAGTGTAACTTGGAAGCTAAGGGACTGTTCATATGGAATGACTCGTGTGAAAAGAGTCAGTCAACGCTCTGCCGGAAGTCGTTGGTTTTCTCCGGGTGCTCCGGTTTGCTCCCACAGGGAAAGTTAACAGGGTGGGTTAGGATAAACAAAGTAATGAGACAAGTTGTGAGATTTTTACGTTTGTAATATTGGAGAATCCTGACCAATATAGTCTGACATAATTAATTCTATATCCAGCAGCCTTTCGCGCTCGTATTCGACTTTTCCGCTTTGCTCGTGGACAACCTTAATTGAACAAGACGCTCTCTCGAGCGTTAAGTTGCTGGGGCTTTTTAAATAGGCGCCTGCGTGATTTGCAACGAGCGGTAAGAGTATATTCAACGATTTGTGGGCTTGATTTGTAATTGTACATAAGTTTATTAAATAGTGACACGTTGCGACATAATGTATACAGCAAATTTAATTAACTAAGGGACGGACCATTAGAAAAGTGATGGGGGGGGGGGATTTTCTAAGAGGCAATATTTTTTTTTGTACACCTATAGAAATTTTTTTTCTCACTTGATGGCTGGAAATATATTTTTTTATTAAAATTTATAGGCCTATCTTCCAAGAAAGGAATTTTTTTTGCACTATGCCTGGGAAGATTTTTTCCCCTAATTTTTTCCTGGGAATAAATTTTTTTGGGTTCCCCCCCCCATCGGTTTTCTAATGGTCCGTCCCTAAGGTCGTCCTTTCAATGAAGTGGAATCTCACAATCAGGTCCGTTGCACAAGAGTTCATCATATCGCTGAACTGAAGAATTCCTACAGGTCATAAAAGAGATCCACGGAAGAATTCCTGTTAATACCCATGAAGAGAGACCCTGGAAAAATTTCAATTTTTACATTTGACCCCTGAGAAAATCTCATTCAAAATATCCATTACCGGATTACCCCCAAAGAATTCCACACAGAAAATATTTGCTTATCCCCGAGGAATTCCAAAGCTAAAAATTTATCACCTCATTCCAGCAGAATTGAAAGCTGGAATAGCCCATTTTGTGCTGGCACTGTGGCACAAGTGTTCATACTTGGGCCTTGGGCTATAATAACCCCTTATTCATATTTGAGGATAAGTACAGATTTGTATATTTTTATTTTAACTTGTTTATAACAAATTTTAAAACACAAAAATTATTTATCAGACAGTTAAGGATTAAGGAGTCGTTTGTGAATTAACCCATTGAGTGACATAGACACAGTAAAATAATAAAGTAGGTCACATGAGGGTACATTGCCACTTAAAGGGTTATATGATATGGACAATTGCATATATTGATTATTGGTGCGGAATTTAGCTTTTTGCACCTAACTGATGCATGCGATAGACAGTGGTTATATTTCACCCCAGGGCCGTAGCAACCAGGGGCCCGGGCTGTTTGAAATTGTAAATTTCGACATACTAAAATGCTGTTTTCTGACCATGCATCAGAATTCTGTCAAATCTTTCCCAAAGTTCAGGAAATGGCATTTCAGACACTCTAAATTTAAAAATTTTCTCGGGCCTTTGGCCATTGCTTTCAGTTCCCCAACCAAAAAGAGCTTCCCACAGCACTGCATTCCCCGAGCTAATGGCATTAAAATTTTACATAACTTTATATTAGCAGTCAGTGGTGTAGAACTGAATCGCTAACAAAGAGGGCCCTCAAAGAGGGGTGGGGGTGACAAGACGTGGGGTAACCAGGCATTGAGGGTGCAACATGGTAAATATAGATAGTTCCAGTATTCACTTTTGGTTCTAGCAATTCTTCAATTGGTGATTTTTAACTAAAGGGCTTAATTAACATCAAATAATACACTCCAAAATATTGAAGCTATTACATGTTAGAGCCACATAAATATCATCAAATGGTTAGTTAGATCATAGTAAGGTACAGATTACTGATAGATTATAAATTTTGCAATCTGCAAAATTAATTGTGAGGTTAATCTTCCCAAGTTGACATGAAATTTTTAACAAGGGGAACCCTGTTTGCAATCTATTAAATAAGCAAATGAGTTGCAAGTAAAAATCACGAATACATGATGCAGTTTACAACATGAACATGGGAGTTTTTAAGCTAATAGTTCAGTCCTATAACCAGAATAATAAGTGGACCTTATGTAATGTTAACATAATACAGCCAATGGCTGCAAGGTTTAATTATCAATTAAAAACATCTATCTATCTAAGAAATACCAATCCAAGATTGTGTGTCACGTACCTCGTGTGTCACTTCAAAACAGCCAACATTTGAGCCCTTTTGAAAATAGAGCTACACTGTAGCATGCAAATATGACAGTTCCAATACATGTAAACAAATACGATTTTTATGCAGACTATTGGAGCAACCAGGACTATAAGCCATATTAAAGCGTATATAGATGTAAAACTTCACAAAACAAAAGTATAAACGTTCAGACTGTAATGGTTCGACGAATAAATAACACAGTTATTGTCAGTTAATCCACCTCGGAATCTACTCCACTCCTCGATAGTGAAACGTCGACATAATTCTGTATATTCTTGATGGATTTCTTTCAAAAAGCCCCCAGAAGAAAAAGTGTGATTGAAAGAACAATTTGACGTTCACTTTATACACTTACGAAGACTTTAAGACCGTTAAAATAGCGAAAATGTATGCACGTATTGCCAAAGATTAGATACCAGTGTGACCTATATCGGTATTAACTTGTTTTTCAAAACTACTTGAAAAACTTATGCACAAGCGATTAATTAACTATGTTGAAAAACATCGTATACTTTCAGAACATCAATTTGGTTTTAGAAAAAAATAGATCAACTGAGCATGCCATTCTTGAACTAACCGATAAGATATCCAAAGCAATAGATGAAGGTAAATATACTGTAGGTATTTTCCTTGATCTCTCTAAAGCCTTCGACACTGTCAATCACGAAATTCTCATAAAAAAAACTTCAACACTATGGAATTAGAGGTATAGGTCTACAATGGTTTATAAATTATTTACAGGAAAGAACTCAAATGGTCAAATATAAACAACATAGGTCAACTGAAATGAGTGTTAGGACTGGCGTCCCACAGGGTTCAATTCTTGGACCACTACTATTTCTAATATACATTAATGACATTGAAAACTGCAGTAAAATTCTTTCTTTCGTCTTATATGCCGATGATACAAATGCCTTTTATTCAAATTCGTGCCTAAAAACTTTAGCTAGTACTATACAAAATGAAATGAATGAAGTAGTGCAATGGCTTAACGCCAATAAATTATCAATCAATGCATCGAAAACAAAATTTGTCATTTTTAAATCAAAAAATAAGTCACAGCATCAAGAAATCATAGTAAAAATAAATAATGATATAGTTGAACAAGTACCTTGGGTAAAATTCCTAGGTGTATTAATTGATCAAGAGTTGACATGGAAGAATCACATCAACTCCGTTCTGAAAAACATAATTAAATCTGCCGGTCTGATTGCTAAACTAAGACATTTTACGAACAAAAACACTTCGAAATTGATTTATTATGCATTGGTCTATCCATACCTCACGTACGGAAATCTAGTTTGGGGAAGTACATACCCAACAAGGTTACAAAAGTTACTAAATGTGCAAAAAAAAATTGTACGACTAATCTGTTTTAAATCTTATATGGATCATTCTGAACCAATATTTTTACAATTGAAAATCTTGGATATCTACAAAATTAATGATTATCTATGCAGCTTATTCATGTATCGCTTCAATTATTGTCAAAATTTCCCGGACTTTTATAATGATTACTTCAAACAAAATAACGAACTATACAACTATAATACTCGAAATTCTACCAAGTTACATGTGAGCTATAAGAGAACAAACTATCGCAAATACACTGTATTTAACAAAGGAGTTTCTATATGGAATTGCCTTGATGAAGAAATTAAAAATATTAAATCATATTTTTCTTTTAAGAGAACTGCAAAATCCTATTACTTGATGTCTAGTTGATGTAAATATTTCAGGAATATTAATGACAGTATTCTGTAATGTACTAAATATTCCTTAAACATTTTCATATTTGTTTGTAAATAGTTTGTGTTTTTCATTGCAAATTGTCCTTATGTACATAATCTATTTTTATATTACTGAACACTAAAACTATAGGGGCCTCGTCTTAAAAGTCCAACAGGATTTCCAGAGGTCTCTAGCCCGTTTATATATTCTTAAATATTCAACTTGTAAATATTATTTGTGGGTAAATAAAACTAATCTAATCTAAATTGGCACCATATTCAACAACACGTTCACCACCACGTTCAAAAACACATTCAAAAAATGCCAATGGCTAATTTCAATCACTCAAAACGACAAAACTATCAAAGGGCTATTTTCTCCCACAAGAAACATCTTAATGCAGCAAAAACACGATAGAAATACGTAGAACGAATTTATCTTTAATTTGAGCTATTAAACTTATAGCTCCAAGCAGTATAAGGGCAAAAATTTCATTTTTTCACCAAAACATAAAACTGGATTTCTTAAATTAATTGAAAAAGTCGGGAATACAAAACTAATCGTACCTTACCCTCTATTCTGTCCGATTTTTTCAAAGTTCCATGTATTGTACAACTTTATATGTACTTTCCTACGATACTTCATTCATATTATGCGTACCACCTATATATTTCCTACGATACTTCATTCATATTATGCGTACTTTTCTACGATACTTCATTCATATTAAGCGGACCACCTATATATAAATTAGATTAGAACGTTATCCGTGTTGCCGTGATAAACATTCTGATAACTCAGCCTCTATTATGTCCGATTTTTTCAAACTTCCACATATAGTACAATTTTATACGTACTTTTCCTATGCTACTTCATTCAAATTATGCACTCGAGTTTAAAGTACAGAAAAACGCACTCAAACTCATGCAACTTTAGACGCGGAAATATTTTAAATTTTATTACTATAATTAGATTATATAGTGCGTTATCAGGGTTGCCGTTTTAAAACTTCTCATAACTCAGCCCCTATTCTGTCCGATTTTTTCAAACTTACACATATAGTACAATTTTATACGTACTTTCCTATGGTACTTCATACAAATTATGCACTTGAGTTTAAAGTACAGAAAAACGCACTCAAACTCATGCAACTTTAGTCGCGGAAATATAAATTAGATTAGAACGTTATCCGTGTTGCCGTGATAAACATTCTGATAACTCAGCCTCTATTCTGTCCGATTTTTTCAAACTTCCACATATAGTACAATTTTATACGGACTTTCCTATGCGACTTGATTCAAATTATGCACTTGAGTTTAAAGTACAGAAAAACGCACTCAAACTCATGCAACTTTAGATGCGGAAATATAAATTTTATTACTATAATTAGATTATATATAGTGCGTTATCAGGGTTGCCGTTTTAAAACTTCTCATAACTCAGCCCCTATTCTGTCCGATTTTTTCAAACTTACACATATAGTACAATTTTATACGTACTTTCCTATGCTACTTCATTCAAATTTTGCACTTGAGTTTAAAGTACAGAAAAACGCACTCAAACTCATGCAACTTTAGTCGCAGAAATATAAATTAGATTAGAACGTTATCCGTGTTGCCGTGATAAACATTCTGATAACTCAGCCTCTATTCTATCCGATTTTTTCAAACTTCAATATATTGTACAGCTTTATATATACTTTCCTATGATACTTCATACAAATTATGCACTCGAGTTTAAAGTACAGAAAAACGCACTCAAACTCATGCAACTTTAGACGCGGAAATATTTTAAATTTTATTACTATAATTAGATTATATAGTGCGTTATCAGGGTTGCCGTTTTAAAACTTCTCATAACTCAGCCCCTATTCTGTCCGATTTTTTCAAACTTACACATATAGTACAATTTTATACGTACTTTCCTATGATACTTCATACAAATTATGCACTTGAGTTTAAAGTACAGAAAAACGCACTCCGAACTCATGCAACTTTAGATGCGGAAATATAAATTTTATTACTATAATTAGATTATATATAGTGCGTTATCAGGGTTGCCGTTTTAAAACTTCTCATAACTCAGCCCCTATTCTGTCCGATTTTTTCAAACTTCAATATATTGTACAGCATTATATATACTTTCCTATGATACTTCATACGTATGATTCACTTGAGTTTAAAGTACAGAAAAACGCACTCAAACTCATGCATCTTTAGTAGCGGAAATATAAATTAGATTAGAACGTTATCGTGTGCCGTGATAAAACTTCTCATAACTCAGGTTCTATTCTGTCCGATTTTTTCAAACTTCCATATATTGTTCAACTTTATATGTCCTTTCATACCATACTTGACTCA